AACTGTTATTTTAAATCTGTCTTTGTGCTAGATTCTAATATGCAGTGTTTCAGCACAAGTTAGGTGCTAATACTGTGACAGGTATGGGTCTCAGCACTTCCATTTCAAGTGTTTTGATAAAATAAAAATGTTTTGAATATAGACAATGCATGTGTAATAATTTATACATTTGATGGTAATTTATGGGTCCTAATTGATAAATCTAAGTTACTGGAATTAAGTGGGTACTATGGATGGATTAAAATTACTCTCTAACACTAACTACTCTGACAGATCAGAACTCAAAGTTGTGACATTATAAGTTACTATAACTGAGTAGAGTAAGCATTTAAAGTTGAGATAATGTTAAATTATGAGTTACTACAACTTGAGCTAGGGTTACGGGAGTTGAGAACTTAAAAATGAAAGTTGAATGAACTTAAAAGCAAAACTTAAACAGTTAAGTTGAATTCCCTAACTTAAAATCTGCCTGAAGTTTGTTGCCTTACAATTTAAGTTCTGCCAACTTTTTTTTTAACAGTGCAGTTTGCTCCATCTGTCAGTCAAAACAATTGATCTATATGGAAAAGAATCTGGTCTAAATATTTATTCAATAGAATATTTTCTAAAGTGACTAACTAAATGTAGAAAATGATTAACAGATTTGGCTCTGCTGCTTTACTAGTCCAGTCTTCACAATATTATACACTTGGCTTTGTCTATACAAGGCAGCATCTTAAAGTCTCAATACTTGCATTCAAACTGGCTCCTAGATTTCCTTTTATACATTTTCAAATATAAAACCATTCTTCAAACTATTCCTACCACTGCCCAACTGAATACATAATGGTTATTGTTCACTTAGAGATGTGCAACCATTGTCAAGTATTTCCAGCTAATGATCTAAATTCAATATTTAGTCAATGTCAATCCATTGTGTTGCTCACATTACAGAGCTGTAACTAAACCTTAACTGAGACACCCAATAATAATTCTTGTTTAAAAATGGTGTGTCTGTGAGGAGCGCCATCACGCCCATATATTGTCTGGCCTGGTGCCCAGAGACTTACAGCAGCTGGAAACACGTTAATAAACACTACTGCCCGTTGGTGTTTATCACACATAATAAATGATTGTATTACATTCACACTTTTGTAAAGAAAAGTCACAGAACATCTGGAAGACACAAAGAGCTGCACTGTCCAGCTGTTGGAGCTGAGAGAGATTCACTGGACAACTTTATGTTACTGTTACTTACTGACATCAAACTTGGAGAGAACACAAGTTTAACTGATTCCTGTTCCCTACAATTTACTCTCATGCTGTTTTTTTTCTCTTTGTGATGGATAATCCATAATCATCAAAGTTGTAAACATTGACACCTGGTTTGACATGTGGGGGAGACGAGACCCTTATAAATTTGCGGGGGAGCCTGTGCCCAAATATATAATCAAATTGTTGATTTCTGTTTATTTTTAAAATTAACCTAATTTAATGTGTTGAATTTGACACCAAACAGGTGGCAAGACATTTTTTTTAGGGGGACAACTGCCACCCATCTACATCGCTCCCTGGTTCAAACGTGAAGGAAGGTGGTACATTAAATTATGAAAGACTTCCTGATAACAGCAAACAAGCAAACAATACCTTTTATGGATATATTTGTTCCACAGAAAGTCTACACTGTTATTCTAAAGTGCCTCTATTTTCTATTAATATACTGTAGAGGTGGGTGTGGTTTACATTCGGAGAGAGGTGTGGGGAAGGCTTGTGAGAGCAGCGCCAGGTGAGTTGATTATAGTAGAGAAACTTGCTACATATACTTTAATATCAAAAGGCAAACAACTATATTAATAAAAACTGATCTCTTGATCACTTTCAGTCTTAAACAAATTTACATTATGGAACTTATTGGTGATAAAGACATTGTAACAGCATACTAACTTGATAAGGTTTTGAAATGTAATATTTTATGCTATAGTAGCTCACTTTTACATGTTTGAGAAGTCAGGACAGTATGTTGAACCTTTGAAAGAATCTTATGAACTAATTATATTATGGAGCTACAATTGTACAACTTTACCAAAATGTTTGGTCAGATTTGGTTTACGTTTCTTTAGTTTACTGAAGGAAATTAACATGATTTTACCAACATGTCTACTGTACAGATACTTGTGCACTGACAACTGAAAGATGCAGAAATGTATGAGAAACAAAACAAAAAAAATTCTGTGAAAACTATTCCAGGGGTCTGGATTATCCAGAGTAAAAGAGATGTTTCAGGAAGAATTCCTCCACATTGTTGGGTGGAGGTAGATAAGAACCCAGCCACAGAACCATCTGCACAGTTTGATACCACAGGGATAAGCCAGAATGTAGTCTTTGAAACTAGGTCCATCGACCTGGAGTTTCTGCACCACAGATGTTAAGATTTGAGCCAGCCTTGCAAAGATTAGGCTATATTTCAGATGTTAAAGAGTCCAGTTGCTATGGGACATTTTAGTTTAGCTCATCTCATAAAGGTAATGCACTTGAGTTCTAAAAGGCATATAACCCAAAGTACAAGTTACAGGGTTTACAGGGAATCCATATCATGGCAATATTAATCCCCTGAACAAACAATTTATAGCATGGCTTCTTGCAGCTGCAGGTACATTTGTCTGTATACAAAAGTCACCTATTGTTGATGTGGCCAATTTGCAACAGCTTTCACAGAACAGGAACGCACAGTACAAGAGGTCACACAGATCTGAGTTTGCCAAAACTCACTGCTGCTGACTAAACAGTATGACCTTCTGTAAAGCAGGTTGGAAAGCAAAGGACATTCAAAGCTTTAACACAGATTGAGCATTTAGGCAAAGATAAAGGGACAAGAAGTTTTAAGAAACTGTTTATTCAGAAGTTTGATGGAAGAATTGGTCCAGAGGAGATCTGCCTTTGGTGGGAGTCTGTACTTCTTTGTTCTGTAACACAAAGTATAAAGTCACAACAAAGTCTAACAGCACAGATTGTTTGACTAAACAATGTCTCAGTGTGTACTTTTACATTCTTACCACTTTTTGTCCACTGAGGTCTGGAGTTACTCGTGCCTGTAGGATGCACACACTGACCTCTGCAGGCACCGTCTGCTTGGCTGTTTGTGTCGCAAATCACTGCATCACAGTGGACGTAAATCTGTGGACAGACAGAAGGATTCATTACACAAGGCTTCATGCAGCTGTCCCAATGTGCATGTGGCCAACTGATGCCTCATTTCGGATGCACAAGTCGTTCTGTACCTCGTCTTTCAGAACCTCTTCTTCTATGGTGAAAGTGAACATCTTTAGGGAGAAGCGTTTAACGTGGGATGGAACAGAAATCCTGGAGTCTTTCGCGACAGGATGGAAGATGGTCACATAGCGGTCGTCATGGTTCTCACAGCTAGTGTAGGAATAAAGCATTATAGCAGCATTTAAACCCATGAAACTGGGATTTTACTTTATGGAAGTATTGTCTTGTGACTGATTCTGCACAAATTAATGCAAATAAAACATTTTGATCAGATCATGATGTCTCATTCAACAGGATATACGTCAAGAGTGAATGTTGCAATAAACTGAAGGAGATTGTGTGTCAGATTATGCTGTACACTACCTGTCCACAATGACATCCCAGCTGGGCAGTGAAGTCCTGTCTTCATGAAGGGTGGCCCAACAGTTCTCCAAGATAAGCTCCAATTGCGGGTCAGTAGACTGCATCAGCTCCACCTCAAAGTACAGAGGCTGCCTCAGAGTTTTCACTACTGGATAATCTTCTGCTTGGTAGAAAAACTCATATGATGAATCTGGAGGGGGAAGAGTCCAATTAGTGGAAAAAAAAAAAACCCAGCACGGACATGTTTTAATGCATTTTCTTTGTAGCAACACGAAAAGGGATGTCCATTTAATACACTTTAATCTTACCTTCGGCTAGCCTCATTTGCACCATCAGCTGCCCTGAGCTAATCTCTGCTGTGGGGTGAATGCTTCTTGGTTTATAGCTGAAGGCAACAGTCTGAGTCTCATTGACCACGTAGTAGCAGGAAATTGTTTGTCTGAAGAGGGAGAAAAAAATAAAAATAAAAAGTGTATGTTGCCAGCCTCTAATTGCTCAGATGGTACATCAGGAGAAAAGCTTTGATGAGTCTTCCTACTTGTAATCAGGATCAATTGGCGATGTGTAGGTCGCTCCTTTGTCGTCGTTATGATACAGGCCAATCTCATTCTCATACACCATGTAGTGGTCAAAGAACTACAAAACAAAAAGACAGGTGGCATTAAAACATTTAACATAGGCCCTTTCAATTTGCAGAATTAAGAGACAGTCAATGTACTGTTCTAGTGGTCCCACAGGAGTCAGCACTGAAAGAGAAATATGCAAAGCGATCATCGCTGGACACTGGTTTGCAGGACTGGTCCTTTAGAGTCAGCCAGCTTGGGATGAGATTTGGCACAGATTCCACCTTCACAGCCAGAGCAGTCATTGTTCCATTGGGGTAGCAATCTGAAGATAGAAGACAGGTTATTGATAAACAGAAGTCCTACAAGCCAAGCAGCAGAAATGCACATTTATTATCTTACTAGTTGTGATCAAGGGGAAACTGCAGGCCAGGTAGAGATCAGCCAGCACCCAGTTGTTATTGGGATGAAATAGAAGCACATCAAGTCTGGCTCTGACTGAATCTGAGGTAATCAGCTGTAAAGACAAAGTGAAGTTATTCAGTGCAGATTTATGGTGAGCATTTGCAGTTTTGCCATACCTCAAACACTGTGTCCCTGGCATTATATGGCACTACGATAGTGCCGTGAGTGCTGTTTGCTTGGAAGTCATAGCTCTTAGCCAGCTCAGGCGTTAGCTGTTGAGCTCCAATCAGGGTCTCGAAATTTTTGCCTTGATTCCCGTATTTCGTTCTGATATAGAAGTTGTTCTGGTCACAGGTGCCAGTGAGGGTGGGCAGCACTAAAAGCAGAGACATGAACGAAGCATTAAGACTAGCTTTCTAGCTATGGATATTTAATTTCACATTTATTCTGGAAAAAAAAAAAAAAAAAAGCTGCCAATATAAAGTTATTGTCAAAAAAATAAATCTCACCAACATCCCGCAGAGAAGCCTGTAACTCCACTGGGTGGGCGAATGGAGTTTCTTCAGGCAGGACGATTAGCCCAAAGATCAGAGGGAGGAAGTAGACCGTAACCAAAGCTTCAGGATTCTGTAGATGTGAAAAAAAAAAAAAAAAAAACACACTAAAAGGTGAAGCAAACAAGCTGTAGGGAGTGACATTGTGCATATATAATTGTCCGTTCACATACATGTTTCAGGACAACATCTGCATCAAAGGGCACTTGGAGAAAGAAGCTCTTGCTTCCGTTGGGGAAGCTGTGCTCCTGGACAGGGAAACCTCTGGCATTGCACTCCTCAACAGTGAGAACTCCAGTGGAGAAGGTGATGTTGCTCAGCTCCACATCATGAAGTAAGGTCCCCAGATAAACACTGAATACCCTCTCCTCTGGGACAGTATCTGGAGGAGCAGAAAGTAGGTTTATACCTTTTCAAAAGCCTAAATTTCTACCAGAAAAGTGACTTACTGTCTTGGGCGTGGGGAGGTCGAGGCATCAGAGGGGTGGTGATGGGGAACAAAACCTTGTACCTGGTTTTATCTTGGGCGTTATCTGCCTTCCACAGTACCTCAAGCATGGGCTCCACAGTGTACGTGATGTGGTACTGGTAATCTGGGGCATGGCTCTGCAATTATTCATGGCGTTTTAATAAAACATGCAAATGGACCAGTGACCAGGCTCATGCATATCAAATCTAAAGCCTTCCCAACCTTGTAGTAACCATTAGGTGAGCCCACTGGGATCTCAATGACGATGTGGAAGTCTGTGGTAGAAAGGGTGTACCCCCCTGTGGCCATCTGAGATTTACCCAGCCTCAGCCCGTTGATGCCCATGTGCATTTCTAGGATTGTAAAGCTGCCCTCCATCAGAGGCGCCATGTGGCGAGGTACATGCCAAGAGATCACATCCTCGGTGAAGAGGACGCCACCTGTTGAAAAGCAACCGTTTACGTCACTGTGCAGCAACTTCGTTTTTACTGTTAATGCTACATGTTGCATGACTCACCTGTAGGACAAGCAGCTGCCAAGTTCACCACACTTAGACCATGTGGTGCCTTGTAGTAAGCGCTCACCCTCAAGACTTCCATGGGGATTCCAGCCACCTAAAAGAGGGTTTGATGTCATTTAAATACAAAAAAGGCAAAATAAAACACTTGAGATGTGGGTGTGTCTTACATCCTCCGAATAGGTATCTGCTGTATTGTATGGGCTTCGCACAACAAGACGGCTCGAGGTCATCATGGCACTGTAGCCGGCTTGTTCAGCCTCACTCAGCACCATTGAAACTGGTTCTGGAGTGTAAAACGTCATCTTCCAGATACCGTGTGCTGCACCAGAGGAAGCCTATAAGGGAAGGAAGGAAAAAACCTTGATCCTTCAGTAGCTTTATTGAAGGTGCAGGGTGACATTAAACCTGCAGTGGGGGAACTTCCCTCCCCTCTGGCAGTTAAAATAACTCTACAAACACTGTTGATAAATGCTTATGACTTTAGTACATGCTGCACACTATACCAGGGCACTCGTTACTTGATTGAAATTCTTCCACTGAACACAAGTTTTCCTGCTTCAGGTTAAAGTCCCACACACCAGTTTGAAGTCAACTGTAGGAACAGTGAAACAAAAACGTACATCAGGAATGACATTTATCTGGGAGTTGTCATCCTTAGTTTCAGTTTGTGGGTCACGTGTAGCCATGTAGTTTGACACCTAAAAAAAAAAAAAAAGAAAAAAAAAGAAAAATTTAATTTTCATGACCACCCAGACTCTAAATTGTAGAGCCAGCAATGTAAAAGTAACCTACTTCCATGTAGTTCCTGTCGCAGAGAACCTCTCTGGAGGCCCACTGAGCGTAGCTGCACTTCTGAGTCACGTCATGATTAACCACGTCTGATGGACTGTGCATTTTGAGTCTCAGGCCAACATTGAATGTTTGATCTTCCTACAGTTTAATGCACAAAAAAAAAACAAAAAAAAAAAAAACACACTGTACTTTGTATCCTATAAGGCATATGTACACAGAGGGTTAGGGGAAAGAGCAGAACATTATAAAATAAAGCCACTTATTGGAGGTTTGGTCTTAAGGGAGACACAGAAAATTAGGATCTACTGTCTGTAATCACACAAAAGTACTTTAACCATTTAAATCTCAATCCTAAATTAGTTAAGGAATATATACCAATTGCTTTATCATTGGAAAAGCATAATTTAAAAAAAAAAAAAACTAAATGAAAAATGCTATCAAACAATTGAGCTCAAACATACTTTGTTGTCCACATAGCAGGCCATCAGAGAGGTGTAGATTCTGGTATTACCCCAGGGGTCGGACTCCATGCTGTATCCACACTGAGCAGCCAAGCTCGGTGTTAACACAATGTGCTGGGTTCCATCTGGGGAGGGGAAAAAAAGCCAAACATGACAGGGATCACATCTTCCAGTGATGAACCAATCTGCTCGTCATTAGCAGATTTTATACTCACTGATGGCTTCCACCTCAAGCTGGTTCCCCACTGCTAGAGCCTTGTCCAACGACAGCCTCATAAGATTACCAGCACAGTCTGACCTTAAACCATTGCCTGTTGGAAGAAAAGGAAGTTGTGAGGAAATAAACCTATTTTAAAAAGTCAATAAAATTATATATAAAAGTGAAGACTTACTTGACTGTGAGTTGAGCTTCATATTTGGCCTTGCTTGACCCAAAATGATTACCGCAGCCATCAAGTTCCATAACAAACTGGAACAAGAAAAAAAACAAAACATTAAAGTAAGAAGCTTAAGAAACATATTAAAAATAAAAGGAAACAACTTACATGTTCTCAAGCCTCCGCATGTTGCAGTCTGAGTGCAGCCAAACAAACGAAGAAAGAAAGAAAGAA